TTCAAGAGGTTGGCCAGGAGCACTTCTGACCTGGAAGCAGAGAGGGGATTTGAGCTCCATCTTATTAGGCTGGAAACTGAGCCAATTTGGCCAACTCGCAATAGCTGAGGTAAACTGTACCCTGCTGGCTGAAGATGCAGTGGAAGGGTCCCCCAATTTTCCAGTTTATACCCAAGTCTTTCATTCTGACGTGGGGCAGTTCTGTCTTCTGGAACTCAAACTGAGTGGCCCAGCGTTTTGTGTTGGAGGGTTGGCCTCCAACACGGAGTGAGTAACGCTGGCTTGGGGCCGGCTGAGCTCAGAGCCTGCTCTCAGCACCCTCCTCCCCGCCCCCCCCCCCAACTCTGCCTTTCTGGGATATTCTTAGCAAGAGGTGACCTCAGAGTGCTCCCACTGAGCAAAAATAACCCTGGAGGAAGTTGGTGGGTATAAATCTTCAATGAATAAATACGTGCTAGTAAACAGGGTATAGAGGCCCGGAGGGTCGGTCACCCCCAGGGTCTGGTGGGCAAAGGCAGAAACCGTCCCTCCCAGCGGCCTAGTTGTGATCAGCACAAAGAACAAAGGCGGTCACAGGGCTGTCTGGACTGGCAACCAGGCAGGAACCAGCTTCCCACACCCTCACTGTCACTGTGCAACGGCCTGGCGCACAAGGACATGCCTCTGCCGCCCCCTGTGCGCCAGCCCAAACCTGGCCTCACACTCTCGGGCCAGCAGAGCCCAGCCCGGCATGCCACTATCCCCTCCTCAGCTCACGGGCCCTGGACAGCCCGCCGGCCCTGGGCCTGGGTGCCAGCTCCCTTCCTAAGCCCCGCCCAGCCCCTCAGCGGCTTCCTGTTTCCTGTTGCTGCTCCAGCTGCAAGCATCCTGGCTCTGAGGCCAGGGCTGCAGACCAACACTGCTGCCTGGTTTTAAGGTGGCCCACCTCTCTCTCCTCTGACCACCAGGCCTTCCCCAATGGCCCCAGGGCTCCCAGGTATTTGGGTCAATCACCCCCGTTATATTTTCTTTGTATGCTTTTTGGACTGGGTCTACACACTTAACAAACAGCCCTCCCTGCGTCCGCATGTCAACTTAAGGGACTGCGGATGCCCAGTCTTCCAGAGCACATGGTTGGAGTGGTGAGGAGGGAAGGGCACTGTGGCTGGCATGCGGGAGCCCAAGTCTCAATTTGCCCCTCTGAGCCTCCGTCCCTCCATCTACATGAGGAGACAGCCTCTGTTCACAGCCTGTCCTCAGGCCTGGGGTAGACAGGGCCATGGGTGGCGGGGCTAATTGTTAAATCTAGCGGAAGGGACAAGTTCTCTCCACCTGCTTTCCAACTATCTCGGATAAAAGGTGAGGTTTTGTCTAATTCCCCATCTATCAAGAAATGATGCTTTTGTAAAATGTAAAATCATGCACGTGGATGTGGCAATGGCATCAGCATGGCATGAAAGCTCCTAAACACTTATTCTCAAGGTCTGAACAGACAGGGGACAAATGGTCTCTGCAGACCATGCACCGGAACTGAGGTCTTGTCTTTCATTCTGAGTGTTCATTTTGATTCATGGTACAAGTGGGACAAAAGGGAAAACTGGCATGGGTCCCGAGGCCTGACCTGGGCTTCGTCTGCTAGACAGGCTCAGACAGTGATGGCGTCCAGGCAGGAGACACACTTTGATGTGCAGGGAGCAGCGGGAAGATGGGGCTTCTAGGAAGAGTGGTGGCTACTGAGCACCAGCGAGGGGCAGGAGGGACCCGACTGTGGGGGGCAGACAGAGCACTTCGGATCTTGTCCCACAGAAATGGAGTCCCTGGAGTCTTCAACAGAACTGTGTCATCAACTGCCTTACGTCTAACTGTGTGTGGCAGCCTGTCTCCAGCACACCAGGTTGAAAAATGAGTCTTATTTATCTGTGTGGTCTCCTCATCCTGGTAGGTACCTGGGAGATGTAAGGTGTTCTTTGTTGAGAGGAGGAAGGGCTGGAGGGGGTGGGCAGAAGGCCCTACGGGGTGGGGAGGGCTGGTCTGGGCCAGGGGGCAGCCAGCAGGAGTGAGGAGAGGGCAGCCAGGGACAGACAGACCTTGGAGGGTAAAAGGAGGAGAGAGACAAAGATTTCTTAGCCTTGGGCTGGGGGAATGTGAGGACACTAGTGGGTGCACCTCATCCTCCTGGTCCAGCTCCAGTGCTGGACATGCAGCTTTGCACAAACAACGCCCCCAGCCTTCAGCCAGGTTTTCCCTGCTTGCTCGCCAGCACCGCCCACTCGCTCCCACCTGTCGGGATCTGAGCCAACCTCCTTCCCGTGTCCAGGCTGAGCTGGATGACATGCACTCAACTGCTTTAAAGCTCCCTGGTAGGGCCTCGCTGGTGGCGCAAGGGGTTAAGTCTCAGCACTACCAAACTATCTCAGCCACTGTGGCCTGAGTTTAATTCCCCGCCAGGGAGCTGACCCACATGGTGCAGCAGACCTCTCCTGTCTCACCCGCTGCTCCCCTCAGCAGTGTATTTCACTAGATCTGCCTGTTCTGCTCCCCACTCTGTTTCTGGTGAATCCTCTCACCCCCACATCTTTGGTCTATACCCCAGCTCTTGTATGCATTAATAAATAAAATAAATATTTAAAAAAAAAAAGTTCCCTGGTAAGTTCAGTCTCAGAGCCACAGCTGCACCAGGTCCCCAAGAAACCCTCCCTGTTGAGCTCCTCCGCCAGGGAGGGGAGGAGGCCAGGGTCCTCACCTGCTCTACTGAGTGCCTATGGGTCAGGATACCATGGGCTGACTCCCGTGGCAGCACCAGCTTCCCCTCCATGGGCTCCCTTGGGGGCCAGTAAGCCCTGTGATGCCCGTTTTCTCTAGGGTCGGTCTTTCTGTTCCCCCAGGTGCTAGGGGGTCCCTTTGACAACAGTTGCCTCAGCCCCAACCCCCCAATCAGTATTGCCTTCCCCATGTTCTCTCTCATATCCTAGGGCCTCTCTGAGAGTCCAGGTGGCTGCAGATGTCACCCAGGACACAAACTGGACCACATCCAGACTATGACCTATGGAGGATGTGCACCCCTCCCACCAGGTTGGCCAGGGGCTGATGCTCGGCTCCTCTGACCTGAAAAGCCTGCTAAACACCTGCCCTGCTGGCCCCTGCAGGCTTATTACACTGACAGTCCTACATTTGGACTCTGCTGTTTGCAAGCACCCCTGGAAGTGGACAGGACGGGTAATACTGGCAGCCATATTTTACCAATGAGAAAGCATAAGTTCAGAGAGGTTTAGTAACTTGCTTAAGGTCACACAGCAGAGAAGCAGTAAATCCATGCTGTTTCTTTTGTCAAGTGAGGTTGCTGCGGCCTCGTCAAGAGGAAGGGTTTGGCCATGCAAGGCAGAGCCAGCCTTTGCTGGAGCTCTGGCTCCTCGGTGCTTGAGCCTGTAAGAGTCTCACAGGAGCCTAGGAAGAAAGCATCCTCATCATTTCCACTTTGAAAAGGGGAAAATGAGGCAGTGACTTGTTCAAGATCACAGAGGCGGCCAATGGTGGAGCAGAAAGTTAAATCCAGGCCTGCTGGACTCAACGAGAGCTTTTCCTTCCACACTGGGCCGGGCTCCAGGCCGGGGACACATGCCTCGCTGACCCTTCACCCACTCGGCATGCCCCTCTTTCTCATCATCTGTCCATCGCCTGCCCCTGGCTTCTTCGCACCCTCTTGCCCCCAGGGTTTCACCCCACTTCTCGGTGCCTTCCCTCTGAGCCCAGGGACTCACAACAATGCAGCCAAGGACTGAGGGTTTTTATTTGCTCTAGGCGATGGCTCTTGTCTCCAGGGCCTGGGCCGCGGGCACGGGTGCACATGCAGGCTAACCTGGGCTCTCACTCGGCCTGGCTCCCCTCCCACTCCAGTCTGCACCTGCTCTCCACCTTCTCCCTCAAGGTGCCCCCGGGGAAGAAGAGTGGAGGGCACCTGGGAATCTGAGTGCCCGCTGGAGTCTGCTGCAAACTGGGAATTCCCTGAAGGTCCCTGTTTTAGCATTCAACTTCACGTGAATTTTGCATTCTATGTTATAAAATGTCCATATTTGCTTTAATACTAAATTGTTTAAAATTATTTACCAGCTCAATTTCACTTCTGCCCTCCACCCCCAGCCAGAACTGGCAGTGGTGCACTGCATCCCCCGTGGCTTCCGGAACCCCTTGACCACCGGCGGGTGCAGCCTACCCACCCTCCCTCCCTCTGCCGTCCTTTTTCACTTCAGCTACCCTTCACCCGACACTCTACCCTGGGAAGAAAATCCTGTGCTGCTGAGAACATTCCCTTGAAGGGCTGAATTACAAATCCGGAGCTCCTGGCTCCCCTTACCTTCTTGCTCTGTTTCCCATTCCCAGCTGGAAGGGGCTAAAAGAAAGGAACCAGCTGTCCTTGGTGCTGGGAAATAATTACGGCTCTGCCCAGGATCAAGGCCTGAGGCCCACAGGCCTTGTCCTCTGGAGCCATTCTTATCACAGACAACCCCGGCGCTCCCTCAGCTCAGACGCAATAGTTCCCAGAAACTGGGACTCAGGGGTCACTCCCATGGGGGATACGTCCACGGAACTGAAACAGTGCCTGGTTCTTCTTACTTCCTATGGTGTTCAGGATCCCCAGATGGGGCTGACCCCAGGATGGGAGTGGGGGATTGAGAGGGAGGGGCCACTGCAGGCAGGTCAAAGCCACCTTCTAGGAACCCACCAGTCTCTCCAGCTGCCCTTACAGAGAGAAGGTAGGATCCAGGGGTCTTGGTGAAGCCCCAGCTCTATCATGATCCACAGCACGAGTTCCCTGGCCACTAGGAGTCTCCAGTTTGATGCAGCAATTAGGAAATGTGTCAGGGTCATAATGGAGTTCAAAGAATGAGGAATGTAAATGAGCTCTGCCCTGGAGGGAAGCGCCCCATTGCCTGGTCTCCACATACTGGGGTCACTGTAGCCCATATTTCGCTGTTGAGAGCGTGCACACGTGCCCATATGTGCTGGGGGATGTCACCACTTACCGGGGGGTGCTTGCGCTTCCTTCCAGGCCGTCCCACCTTCCGTGCAGTTATGCTGGGCTCTTGCCGCTCCTCCTTGCCACGGGCCTCCTCCTGCTCCTCTCCCTCCTGTGGACACAGACACAGTTCGTGAAGCCAGGGCTGGATCCAAGAAGCACATCAGTAGACACCAGACCCACCAGGCCTTCTCCCTGCTTGCCCCACCCCCACAACAGCTGATATCCAGGGCTGGACTACGTCATTCCCCCAGACAGGGATGGTCTTCGACCCAGATGGTGGAGCCTGAGCCACCTTAGAGCCCCACTTAAATATATCCGGGGTGAGGGCACCTACCCTCCAGCAGAATGTAGTGCTCCCTCCTTGTGCCCATATTTTCTGAACCACAAAATCATTATCACATGCTCTGACAAAGAATAGGCTTCTGAGAAAATATGAGAAGGAAATATTATCCAAGATCTGTAAAGAACTCAGTATACCTCAACAAGAAAATAGACAGCCCAATTAAAAAGTGGGCAGAAGAGGGGGCCTCCCTGGTGGCACAGAAGTTGAAGTCTCAATGCTATCAAGCTAGCACCAGCCACTGCAGCATGAGTTCAATCCCCAGCCAGGGAGCTAACCCACATGGCACAGCAGACCTCGCCTGTCTCACCCGCTGCTCCCTCAGCAGTGTGTTTCACTAGATCCGCCTGTTCTGCTCCCTACTCTGTCTTGGATGAATCCTCTCACACCGCCCCCCAACCCGCACCTCTGGCCTACACCCCGGTTCTTGTGTGCATAAATAAATAAAAAATAAATCTTAAAAAAAAAAGTGGGCAGAACTAAATAGAGCCTTCTCCAAGGAAGCCATACAGATAGCTAACAGCAAATGACAAAGTGCTCACTGTCACTTACGAGGGAAATGCAAATTCAAACTACAATGAGATATCACCTCACTCCAGTAAGAATGGCCCATGTCAAAAGGACCAGTAACAACAAGTATTGGAGGGGGTGGAGGAAAGGGAACCCTCATACACTTTTTTTTTTTTTTTTTAATAGAGGCATGTCTTATTTATTTATTTATTTGTTTGTTTGTTTGTTTTGTTTATACATGCACTGGGTACAGTCAGAAGCGCGGGAGGGTGAGAGAATTCACCAGAGCCAGAGCTGGGAGCAGAGCAGGCAGAAGGACCGAAGTACACTGCTGAGGGGAGCAGTGGGCGGCAGGAGAGATCTGCGCACCATGTGGGACCCTCCTCTGGTGGCCGGGGAGCAGCCGGGGATCGAACCGGTGCCGCAGAGGCTGCGGGCAGCTTCGCAACCCAGCGCTCAACCGCTGCGCCACCGGGAGGCCCAACCCTCATACACTTTGGTGGGAATGTAGACTGTTTCTCAAAATATCAAAAATAGATCCACCTGACGACCCAGAAATCCCACTCCTCAGTATCTATCCTCAGGATGCAAAAACTAATTTGAAAGGATATGTACATTCCTAAGTTCACTACAGCACGATCTACAATAACCAAGTTATGGAAACAACCCAAATGCCCAACAACAGGTGAAGGAATTAAGAAGATGTGATATATTCACAATGGAATACTACTCAGCCATTAAAAAGATGGTTTTTTGCCACATGGAACTGGAGGGAGTTATGCTAAGTGAAATAAGTCAGAAGGAAAAGACAAATATCAGATGACTTCATGCATATGTGGGATAGAGAGAAACTAATTAAGGGAACAGAAAATCAAAACCAAAACAAATCCTAGAATTCTAATTGTAGAATTGAAGCTAATTGAAAGGGAGGATGGATGAAGGGGGGCAAAGTGGGGAGGGGGTCCAACAGCCCACGGCAGAGGATCAAGGGTGTATTAACAGTGGGTGTGGTGTTGTGATATACATCTGAAGAGGTATGGACCTATACCCCCAAATCCTATACATGTTGTAAACCATGGTTACCTCAATAAAAAGACCAGTTTAAAAAAAAAAAAAAGAATTTGCTACTGGATGTCAGTTTATTTACATTAAAAAACTTATACAAGTACCCAAAATGAATGGTTACATACTTAGTGAATCACTTTTATTGAAAAATAAATTCAAAGGAAAAGTAGTATTAAATTTAGGGATGTATATTAGAAGTATGCGGACTCTTGCAGACAACAGAGGATTTTACAGCCTCTGTAAACAGTCTGTTCTGAGGCGCCTGCCATGTGGTGCTGGCATTACATATGCCTGTCACCCGGTCGGAGCATCACAGGGACCATGTCTGGGCTATCTTGGTGCTCCTCATTCACTAAGTGCTGGGCCAGAAGTTTGGTTTTGTTACCCCTCACCCTGTGGCTGCTCTGGCAGGGCCTTGCAACACTGTCTCCTGGGGCACTCAGACAGAAATCTAGAAAGTCCTCTTGCCTTGCTGTTCCAGGCTGGCCACAAACCACCCACAAGGCCCTTTTGAGTCAATTGTCTCCAGCATGACTAATCACAAGCAGAAACAAGGCTGGAAAAGGACCCTGATCCAGAAAAGGGACCCAGCATGCCCCGCAAGAGGTCAGGAGTGAAGACAGCCTCTCAGCCCTCCCGGGAGGGCACCACCCCAGAACAGGGTTGGTGGCATGGGAAGGAAAGGAAGGGTGAACAGGTTTCCAGGGGATTGCATCGAGACGGTCCTCCCCTTCTCACTCAACTTTCATTTTCTGTGATTTCAAAATAGCTTGTGGTTTGCCGCATTCATTCTCAGGTGATGGTGGGACATGCAGATGGAAACCTTCTGTGACCATCGTAGACATTACGCCAACGGAAGAACGGCCCCGGCCCTCCATCACTGTCCATTTGCGGCACGTCTGTGGGCCAGACCCGTCTAGGAGGGAGCCTCAGGGACGTGGCAGACGAGGCTCCGGGAGTCCTCCAGAGACATGCCAAGTGGAAGAGTCACAGACACACCAGGCCTGGCACCAAGGGGAGGCTATGGTCAAGGCGGAGGGCGGGAGGAGGATGCCAGCGTACTGTGGGGAGAGGAAGGAGAGAGGTGCCCATCCAGGAGGCCAAAGTCCTCAGATGCAAAGAAGCTGAGGACAAAGCGGTTTGGCTAGGGGTGGTAGCACTGACCTTAGCGCAGCCAGTAAACTGTGCAGGGTGACATGGCCCTGAGAACCAAGGAGTTAGAGGGACAGTTTGAAGAGCCCAGCTGAGAATGATCTGGAAGAGAAGGCAAGGGGGAGCCCACTGCCAATCTGTGGACATGAGGGGAGAGTTCAGGGTGAAGAGAGAGGCTGACAGCAGAACTGAAGATCCTTGAGTGGCTCTTTTTAGGAGACCATGGCAGAGAAGCAGTGAGGACAGAAAGGCCACAGGGGCACTCTGGGAAAGCCCTGGAAGCCTGGGCTGAGGGTGCCCCATGAGGGGCCAGGCCTGCTGGTTCTGAGTTGTCTTCGAAGACCCCACAAACACCCCTACTTAAGAAAAGATCGCTTGGGTCCCACAGAGAAGTATGGGCAAGGCAGTTTAATATTTGTGAAGGTTCCTGTTGGATCTACATAACAAAAATGAACTTCAGGCTGAGATGGGACCTTTCATGTCCCCACTGCTGCAAAATGGGCACATTGCAAAATGGTCAGTGCTCCTTCTGACCAGGTCACTCTGCGTGTACAGAACAATCAGAGCCAAGGTAAGGTCTCGGAAAGGCACAGGGCCTAGAACAAATCAGTGGGGTCTGGGCCCCGTTTGTCCACTTGCTAGTTAAAGACCAGTACCTCTTGGGCCTCAGTTTCCTTGTACATAAAATGGGGGTATCCACACACATTAAGTGTCAGGCCTGTTATAGGCACTGGGGATGCAGCAGTGAACGAAACAGGGAAGGGGGCAGACCTTGTGTTTATCTGACCTACATGTGGTGCCCACTTGTCCCAGGGAAGAGGGCTAACATTCCCGGGCAGCAGGAAGCCACCCGACCCAGACTAGCTGGGAGCACTAGGCCAGGCCAGGCAGAGCCTCTGCCCATGCTGGGAGGCTGGGCCCCTATGCCTGGAGAGCACAGGGCAGCAGGCAAGAGGGGGTGTCTGAAAAGACTGACTGCCCAGAAATTCTGGGCTCTGAACAATTTCTTGAACAAACTGCATTTGTCAGAAAGGACTACACCCACTGTCCTAATGTGGATTCTGAACAGTTTAATATTTGTGAAGGTTCCTGTTGGATCTACATAACAAAAATGAATTTTTGTTCATTTTTGTTCAAAGGTGTGAACAGCAACCAGAGCCCCTGATCAGCAAAAGGGACCACAGTTACCAGGCCCAGATGGCCTCAAAACAGACACTTGATGTTTCTGACTTCCCTTGGCACATAACAGAAGGCTTGGGGTGGGGGGTCCCTGATCAGCAACCCCGGTGCAGTCTGCAGACTTGCTGTAATTCCTTGCTCAGGTGCTCTGCCTGGGGCATAAGGGATATCAACACAGCTTCCCCACTGAATGCAGTTCAGTGCAACACACCCCAGGAGGAAGGGGGAATCCCCTGACGCCCCCACACCTGTCCAGGGCCTGGTGGGTTGAGAGTGTAGTGATCACGAGGGCAGGCTGCGGTACCAGGCCTGCGTGTCCAGCTGACGTGGGGCTAGGCGCTTTACGCCCTGTCCAGCACGCAGGCCCAGCTCATGCCTGTAGAAACCAAGTCTCCGTGAGAGAGGGGTCAGCCCTGCATCTGGGTGTGAGTGGCAGAGGCCCATGCCCTTCTTGTCAGGCTCGACTTTGGGAAAAGCATGTCATTTTTGGCCAACGTACATTCTTCCATGATGAAGCCGCAATCGCCAGGCAAAGAGGACAGCTCCTATCTGGGCTGTCTGAGTCCCAGTGCAGCAGTAAGTTAGGGGGATAACACACTGAGAAGGGTGAGCAGGTGGCACAGGGGGCCCCCCCAAGGAGGCGTGTCAAGTAGCTCATTCCTGAATCTGTCTCGGGGCCTTTTTCATTCAGTATCTTTGCTAATGGGTCGAGCAAAGGAATGTAAAATATGCTTATCAAATTTGTAAGGAGCCCTGAATTAGGAGGCATCCCTAATCCCGGGAAAGGGAGGAATCTGACCCTCGGTGACTTGGAGCAGCTGGGGGAACAGTAACAAATGCAGCAGGAAGGGATTTGAGCCCAG